AAAAGTCGGTGGGAAACCTTTGATGCCCCCCCCCCCCCCCCCCCCTTCCTTAACACCAATCCACGACCCCCACACACCCCGTATCTGCTGCAGTCGTCTTGGCGTCAGCCATCTCTTCCTCCAACTTGGAGGCCCTCTCTCCGGCTCCCTCTTCCCTTGCGTTAGCCTCGTCGAGACGTGCGGTCAGCTCGTCACGACGTCGCTCCAGCTCTTCCACGCGGGAGATCTTTGGAAGGAGCGGGGTGGGTGGGTGGGTGGGTGGGAGGAGGGGGAGGGAGGAGGAGAGCGCGCGGGGCGGGGGGCGGGAGACGAAGAGATGCACGGACAGAGAAGGCGAGGCGAGGGGGCGGAGGGAGAGGGAGAGAGAGGGAGAGAGAGCGAAAGAGAGCGAAAGAGGGAGAGAGAGAGAGAGAGAGAGCGAAAGAGAGAAAGAGGGAAAGAGAGAACGAGACGAAGAGATAGAGAGAGAGAGAGACAGACAGACAGACAGACAGACACAGATGTGAACAGAGAAATATAAACGTACAGAGAGAGAAATAATAGATCACAACACAGAGAGGGAGATGAAACGAAGACTCCGAGAGTTCTTTCTAGACGGATTTGAGAAAGAAATATATCAAAGTTTGAGAGTGTGCGTTGTCGTCGTTGCCGACGGCGGGGTGGTGGTGGTGGAGAGGCGAACCAATCACAACTATGGGGCGGGGTGTTTGTCCCACTGATGGTGGTGGAGCCAATAAAAGTTATATCTCCTCTCATCACCCTTGCGCATATCTCCCTTCTTCACCTTTCTCTCGAGAGCGCTTTTCATCGCCGACAGCCGGTCGCGAACACCCGCCGGCACCACCGCTTCTTCCTCTTCTACCCCTCCCCCGTCACGGCAGCAGGAAGAACCAGCAGCTCCGCTGCCACCGCTGCCGCCGCCGCCGGCACCGCCACTAGTGCCGTCACCGCTCCTTCCTGCGCCCATCATGCGCTCCTCCCTCTCGTCCTCTCCCTCGTCGTCGTCGTCGTCTTCGACGCCTCCAGTGCCATCGTCGTTGTGAGCGGTGGCGGCGGGGTGCATGCCCAACGCTTCCTTCGCGTTGTTCTCCCGCTCGAGAGCTTCCATGCTGGCTTCCGCAAGGGATCTAGAACGCACAAGGAAAACAAAAACAGGCATGGGGGCGAAAATCTAGGAGGATTCGTCCAATAAGATTGTGCGGTGGTTCCGGTTCATGGAACGGCACCGCTGTGCGGCGAAACATCGGGAGTAGCAAAAATAGCCGACGGGTACCAAACGTGAGAGTGGGGTGGGGACAAGCGAAGGACGATATTGCACCGGCGGGGGTGTTTCGCGGGGCAGTGCTTCATGCCCGACACGTACCACTCTCTCCTGTTCAGTATCCGTCGCCGTGACCACTGTAGAATGTGAGAGGGGTACGTTTAAGTCCAGGGATATGCCTACCATAAGGCATACCGTATGGCATTACACGTTCTTCCGACCGTCTCTCGAGACGACAACGACGAAGAAGAAGAAGAAGGAGACGCACGCCGCCGTGTTTGCAACAGGACAGGAAGAAAAAAAAAAACTTCGCGAAAGAAGGAAACACGTGTGTTGTTGTAGCGAACAGTCTTCCGATATTAGTTAGAAGTACTTCATCTTCGAGCACGGCCGGGTGCCGCTTGAAAAAAGATGGACGCGCACGAACTCGACTACATACACTTACAAAAAAAAAAGAAACGGAGACTTACTCACTCAGTCACTCACTCACTCACTCACCCAATCTCCTTGTCCATCTGCGCGCACGCCGCCTTGGTGGTGTAGAGGTCCCCCTGCCTACCCTCCAACGCTTTTCCCATCGCCGAGACGACTTCCTCCGGGTTGGCTGTTTCGTGTTGTTGTTGTGTTCGTGGCACCATTTTCAGACAAGACGGAACACCGACAGTTTACGGAACCGTGCGATGAGTGTGGTGCGGTGGGATATGGAATCGTACGATGAGTGTCATGTGGTAGGATATGGAATCGTACGATGATTGTGGTGTGGTTCACATGGAATCGTACCATGAATGTGGTGTGGTAGGATAGGTTCCCGCGGTGTCGGGTACATATAGCGTGGTTGGTGTCGCCACGGTATGTACCGTAGGCAAAATTCATTTCCGGCATGGTGTCACAAACTAGTGTATCGTTGGCGTGGTGGTGTGCTAAATAGGCTGATCGTCATCGGGTGTAGTGCTACGGGCGGGTGATGTATGCGGGGATGCCGACCTTGTTTCCCTGGCTGTTGACCCATCGACTCGGCCTCCTTCTCCAGCCTGTCCTTCTCTGAGTCCGCCCACTCCAGTTTCTGCCGCGCGCCCGCTGCCTTCCTCTGGCTCTCCGCGAGACGCTCGGTGCACTACAAAAAGGTGGCAACAAGCGCCGAGGACAGGGGCCGTCCACCGAAGAGAAGTCGTAGACACGCGGGTCCGGGGGGGAATGGAGGTGAGACTCTCTAGGATCGACTACCCAAAAGAGTGGTAGGCATGCGGGATATGGGGGGGAGGCGGAAGTTGTAGGACTCCTTGGGAGTGGAGAACTGAAACCGGGGTCGCAGGTAGGTGCGAGGGACGTGTTGACCAAGAGTGATCGGGGATATCGATGACGTCGCTCAAGGCACAAGTTGGAAATCAGATGGTCTCGTTTGAAATCGAGTGAGCGACTCCGTAGTAGCAACGAGGACGGCACGAGACAGGTGAAAGAGTGAGAGAAGGGGAGAAGAGAGACAGACACAGAGAGGCAGACACAAACAGAACGAGAGAGAGAGAGAGAGAGAGAGAGAGAGAGAGAGAGAGAGAACGCAACAGCAACTTCTGTCTTTACCAAGGGTCAGCGGTCTGCCACACTACCACACACATTGCAGCCACGCCAAGTAGTAGGACGATTACACAGTAGAAAGTGGTCTCTTGTTGGTGACAAAAAACGTTGGATGAAAGGAGCGCTATCTCTAACGGCCCAAAACAGTCTACCATAGTCGGTTGGCGATCGATACACTAGGTAACACACAGCAGCACGGCGACAGCAAGACGATCCACACAGCTGCAGGACTTCAAGTACGCAAACCTATTGTATTGTCGTTTGGTTGCCTTCTCCTCCTGGACGGGCTTACCTCGCTGGCTTCTTTCTTGAGCGCGGTACGCCTTGCCTGCAGCCCAGCAAGCTCCGTGCCCGATTCTAACCGACGGGTCAGATCTCTGACCGACGTCGGGCGCGGGAGGGTCGATAAGCGCGCAGACAGATGTCAACTGTGGTGCTACATTTTTTGGTGATGAAGCATGCACACTCTCCGACAGGGGCGACGACCAGTCCCGTCCAGACAGGCTGAGGGCCGTGGAGTGCAGACGAGCCAAGACCTGATCGCAACATCCTAGCAACGTACAGAGGGTGTCACCCTGTTTCTATTCCCTGCGGTAGCGTCCGCAACATGGACCGAAATAAGTGTGAGGGCGAGCGGGGCGTGATCGTGAACGCTCGAAAGACCAGAGGATGGCTGGACAGCATATGCCCACATTGATGGGAGCATGTTCGACGACAGATCTCGTGAATAAATAGTCTCGATTGCAGCCCGCCGTTTTCGACGGGATAGGAAGGCGTTGAGGTTCTCGGGTGGGTAGAGAGCAAGGAGAGCAGCCTTGTCGTCAGCTGTGCTGATTTGGCATTTACTTTCATGTTCCGAAAACGTGTTCGAGAACACACAGGTTGCTGCGCCCTCCTACCACAAGCGTGGTCGACACAGAGCCCCACCCAGAGACACAAACATACACGACGAAGCCCGCTCTGCTTGCGCCCCCCCCCCCCCCCCCCCGTCGTAACCACTCCCTCGGAACCCCCTTACAAAACGCCTTTCTCTTCCCCTCCAAACCCGGGGGGCCACTCCCACTCTTCTTCTCTCCTTGTACCTGCACTCCTCACTCTTCTTCTCCCCTTGTACCTGCACGCCTCCACGCATGCCTCTAGCGACGCCTCTCCCTCCCTCCTGGCATGGTTCGCGAGATCCCAGTCAAGCTTGGCTCTCAGTCTCGCCCCTTCCCCTTGTGCCGCCCCCCCGACCACCTACAGGTCGATTCGATCGGAACATGAAGAGCATGAAGGAAGGAACGAAGGACTTCGAGGCAACCGGAAGACATGATCGAAAATGAATGCACTGATTTGTGAAATATTTACTTTTAAGAGTGTATGCGTCTGCCTATCGCATTAGACACAGAAGAACCACGTGAAGATTGATAAGATCCAGGAGAGTTGGCGAGTGAAAATCATGTGCTGCTGTCGGCTAGCTGTCTACAGTCCACAGAGGTGGCATACTACAAGATGCGACAACGCGTGTACCGTAGGTTGCATGACACATACCACACCCCGTGGACGATTTTCAAAGCTCGATTACTCCACGACGAAGAGGATGCTGAAATTGAGGTATACGTTTTCGGAAAGCTATCGACGAGACGGTTCCAACGGCGCCATTGTCGGTACCGTCACTGATTTTCCTGCCGAGGTATCGAGCTTCGAACATCGGTCAAGGGGGTGTGATATCTTACGCAACCTACCGTATCCTTTCCCTAACCTTTGCTTCTGTTGTCGAATACTCTCTCTCTATATATATATATATATATGTCGCTCTCTTTGCGTACGTCGCTCTGCTTCTCCCTCTCCTTCGCCTGATTTCTCTGCGTACTGTACACACCTCTCCAGGGGCGTGACGGACACCCGACAAAGTCACGCTACTCATCCCGAGCTCGTCCAGGACTAGAGCGCTCGTGTCATCGCTGAGGCGGGGTAGGGGTGTTAGTTAAGATATCATGCAAGTGAGGGACGGAAGCGAGGACGATCGTGCAAGGAGGGCGTGGGGAGAGCAGGAAGAAGAAGGGTAAGGTGGAGGGGGGCGGGCGGGGGCGCAATTGGTTGAATGCCCCAAAAATTCAACAGATTCTTAAGTGCGCATCTCAAAAGGCGCCCGTCGTCATTCCATCCCTATCACATGGCAAGTCACCTTCAAGGTGCATGTCAGAGCGGGCGGGGGTTGTAAGGGCGAAGAACGAACTGCCTTGTTTCTCTTCAAGAGCGTGCGAGAGACACAAGCCGCAAGCTCGCTTCGGTCGTCTCTCCTCTGCCCCCCGTCTCATGTCTCACTCACTCCGCCGTGATGACCCACGTCCCCAAGGCCTTGTCAACGGCAGCGGTGACGCCCTCGTCTTCTTCGTCCCAAGCGAGGAGAGACGCTGGGTCTGTCACCTGCCGCCCATCGGTTGGAGATTGAAGCGGCGGGGAGGGGTAGGCAGGCAGGCGAGGGTAGTGTTGCAGAGAACTCTAAAGACACACACACACACAGCAGCAGCAGCAGCACCAGCACCAGCACCACCACCACCACCACCACCAACGCCGTCAACAGCACACTATCAGCAACAAACAACACAGGGAACACGCCACGCGGACACCAAACAAACGTGGTAAAAATCTAGGTACCTTGTACCCTCTATCCTCCCTACCTCCAAAAGGGAAACAAGCTAGTTCACCCGCACCTTTCCCTGTCCCGGCCACTTTCGCTCTGCCCACTCTAGGGCCTGCCGCACCCGACCGCTCCGCCCCTGCCCCCGGCTTGCCCTTGTGGCGGCTTTCAGGCGCGCGATTGGCCTATTAGTCGCGTAAAAAGAAAGCGCGTTTCAGGCGCTGGATTGGCGTACTAAATAGTCACGTAAACAGAGAGCAAGTAGGAAGCGCCGTGGGTGGGTAGACTACGGCCATGTCGTCGAGGGTGGCGTTGGGGAGAAGCAAAGGGGGGGGGGGGGGATGCAGTCGAAGGTGGAATTGACACTCATCACCAACATTGGCCACGACCACCGCCTGGTAAACGCTAAACCATCGCTGAACGCAATACGTCTGGTCCATCTCTCCCAACGAGTTGTTCGCGACATAGCACCCCACACGTTAGAAAAAACAGGCGAAAAAGAATGCTCGGGTGCGGCACGTTGATCTCTCATGCTTCGGGCGCTACAAGCGCAACTACTGCTGTGCGCGTGTAACATGGCGTGTAGTCTGTTAGGATATCGGTTCCGTGCGGTGGCGGAACCGTTTTTTGTTTTTGTTTTTTACATGGACAGCGGCACGGCTCCCAAAACGACAAAAGAAACACTACTTGAATCAACTCACCAAACTCTGAGGCCGGCGGCGTTGGACTTGGCGAGGTCGAGAGCTTGGTCCGCGTGCTGCGGGGACTCGCACACCCACACCGACAGCGAACCCGCTGCCGGTCACCAAAATTTCGAAGAAAGCGGAGGCTTTCGTCATCCATCAGCCGTATCGCCGTGATCACAGCAGTTCATGCGTGGCCCCATGACCATTGAACACCGGTACAAACCTTCGACAGACGACGAGCTGCGGACCCCCCCCCCTGCTCATCCCCCTCCTCTCACCTAGGAGCGACGCCAACGCCTGAAGATGACCCTCGTCGCCAAGACCTCGGCGGATCTCGAAAACCTCGAACAAGAAGCCCCGGTGACCGCCGCCGCCGCCGCCGCTGTAGACGAGCTGCGAGCACCACTGGGGCGCGCCGACGCGACGCCTGGCCGCAGCCAGGCTCTGCCGCGAGGATTCTAGCGCTCTCGAGAGGTCTAGCTGGCGCTCCCGCTGGATGCTTCGCTGGTCCTGCGGTTTGTTCCCGGCGAGCAAAACACAAGAACACCATCATCCAGCTGTTTGTTGATGTTGCTGTGTGGTGATGTTGTCGTTGTTGTTATCGTAGAAGGGTGAGCGCTACATGTATGTATGCATGCGGAACGAGGAGGAGGGAGTTCAACCCCTGTGCAATCACACAACCTTCGCGAGGTAAGGGTCGAACTTTTTAAAAGGAGTTTAGCAGAAGGTTGTTCTACCACCGGTCTCCTATTTAGGTACATTTTGTGGACAACGCCTGTGGGAACCATTCTATTGCCTCTGCGGACCATGTGTGTAACTAACTTTGTGGATTGCGGGGGGAGACAAAAACGCCAACTCAACTCCCTCGCAAAGAGCACACCCAGATGGATAGGTCCAGCGTTGTCTCTCCCCCGACCTTCCCAACGACTCAGATCGACAAAATTCACCATTGCTTTCGGACCGGATCGGAATGCGACTTTGCGAACACAACACACACATGGCGTACTGTAGTGAATAACCGCAGAGGTGCGAGATTGATTGATCCGGGCTACATGTGTTGCCAAAGCATTTAATTTAGCATAGCATGTCTGACCTTGACGCCGCGAAGGTACATCTCGGCGTCTTCAGCCGTGCGCAGCGGCGACCCGATCTGCCTCATCTTCCCCCACACCTGGGCGTCGCGGGGAGCAAAAAACACAGCACGGCAAAAAAAAACGCAGTCAAACAGGCTCAATGATACACGTGTTGGCATGATAAAACTCGACAAACAAGGCAAGCATTATCGGCGGGGGTAAGCTCACCAAGCCTCCGGACAAGGCTATCCCAAAATATTTAATTCCCGTTCCCATCCGCCAACCCCCCCCCTCCCCCCCCCCCCGGTCCCATCCTCACCTCGTCGACCAAGGCATTGGCCGCCGTGACCTGCGAGGTGCGCTCTTCGACCTCCGCCTCCGCGCGCGAAACCATCGCCGAGAGGGTTGCGCGGCGTGACTCTGCGCGCTTCACGGACTCTTGGTGGTCGTCTAGCACCCGGCGGGCGGCTCTCAGGGCCCCGTCGGCACCGCTGCCGTTGGGAACGCTGACGACGCCAAAGCGTTGGTTGAGTTGCACCGAGATACAAAAAACGTAAAAGGAAGGGAGAGTGTATCGTGGACAGCAGTTCTCGACGGTCGGTTTGACGCATGATTGCACACAGGAACGGAAGGAGAAAAAGAGGGTGGCTGGTGGGGTTCGTGTGTGTGGTGTGGCGGGGAAGCGGGAGGGTATGGCGTGGAGCGTGGCCGCAGTCACCTCAACAACCAGGTGAACGCACAACCCGCGGGTGGTCTGTGAGGGGGGGTTACCGTCCGCACCTGGAAAGGCTCGGGTTGAAAACCTAAACCTTGCGGCATTGGCTGATGAAAGAAAATGCGTCTGCAAGCGCGAGATACAGTACCACGTCAAAACCGCATTCATTGTGTTCGTGGTTCAACGCGTGCTGTGCCCTCGGCGTTGTGGAAATTGGAGTTATAGTCTGGGTGACAAGAGAATGCGAGAATTCTACCCATCACCAATGTCAACTACCACCACAATACACAATTACCCTCTTCTCCCCCGCCCCCACCTCCCACCGCTCAACCTTGGCGAAGAGATGTTATCCGATGCATGGCGTGCCTTTCTTTACACGCTGATGTGGCTCTCAACCACAGGGTACCGTAAACTTTTTGCGTATGACTCATCAACTAGCTCGCGCCCCCCCCCCGTCTTCCGCAAGCCCCCCCCCCGCCACACACACTGCTTGTTCATCCTGGTGAAACGTAGCCCGGGCCGGCGACAACCCGGCATATCGCTCCGTCGCGGCATTGTAGGGATGCAAGGCCAACGGTCTAACGGCCACCGCACGCGTTTCCACGAGTACACCCCACACACACACCTTCCACCGTCCGCCGCGATCGTGAACAACTGGGCGCGGCTCCGGTCCACCTCCTGCTGCAGCCGCCCCCTCCTCTCCTTGAGCACGGCGCATCTGCCCCTCAGGGCCGACGACTTCGCATCCAGATCCACCCGCTCGCGCCTGGCGGCGTCGAGAATCTGCAGCCACTTCCCGTTGAGCTCCTCCTTCTCGCGAAGCGCGGCCTTCTCCAGCCTCACCTGCGGCATCGTGGCAACGCGCGCCACCGACAATGACGTTGGGACGTAAGCAGTAGACACCGACGACATGGAGCCACCCACACGCCGACGCCTTACCATGCGACAGCAGTGCCCCGGGGGTTGATGGATGGAGAGAGCCAGCCAACACCTCGCGGGTGCCTACAAGTTAAAATGGATGCAGTGATCCCAACCTGGTCCTCCCCCACTACTGTTGTACCTCGGCAGACGCCTCCGCCAGGCCCGTCAGGGCAAGCGAGAGCTCCTTCTGTAGCGCCTCGCTCCCGTCGCTGCTGCCGCTGCCGTCGCCCCCGCGGTCCTCGTTGCTCCCCGCCGCCTCCGTCATCTCAGCCTGAAGCCCGCGGATGCGGTCGTCGTCGGCGCTCTTTTCCCTCTCCAGCGCCTTTTTTTCCCCCCGCATGATCGTCGTTGACGACGTGTTTCGTGTTTGATGAGACACACGCACGCACACGGATGGACGAGAGAAACGTCGAGAGAGCACACCACGCCGAGCGGCTCTGTTCAAACTGTAGCCCCTCTTGAGTTTCCCAGCAACGCTTGCCGTTTTCCGACTTCGTCTTCCTCTTCATATTAGGCAACGAAAATCACGACAGACGCACAACATTTCTCACGTACTGCCCCAAGTTGTGCGTCAACATTCTAGTACCAGAGGGGTCGCGGGTCTGAGTTTAGCCTGGGACGCTACAGTAGTCCCGTACCTCGGGTGTGTGTGTGTGTGTAGCCCACTAACGCACCTCGACGTCAAAGCCAAGCCGGACTACCAGCCGCTCCGTCGCCGCGTGCTCCGCCCTGGCTATCTCGCGATCCAGGGCTTCCATCTTCCCGGGGATGGCCTCCAGCTCCGTGGTCAACTTTCGACCACATGGTATTTCCGTGAGGAAGACCAAAAAAAGCAAAAACAGGCGGGCATGAATTGGCAAACTTACAACCATACATGCGTTTTTAGGACCAACAAATGGCCAGCCGACAGGCTGGTGTGGGCCTGATGCTCAGGAGACCGACCACCGCCGCCACCGCTCGCACGCACGCACAATGCACCCAAGAATGGGGGAACAGTCTTTCAAGCCGCCGCCTGTGTTGAGCCTCGAGGCGCTGTCACTACAACGTCTCTCACCTCTCGCACCCTATCCATCGCCTGTAGGTGAGCGCCCTCTCGGCCTACGGCCTCCTCCAGGGCCTTGGACGACCAGTTGGAGTTGACGCGGAGATTGACGAACGTGTGTGTTGAAAGTTTGAAGGGACAACGAATAAGTAACTTGGGTTATCAAAACGATTCGTTTGGCAGCCAGCCCTCCTTTGATGTCAGTCAGCACTGCAACTCGTACGCACCGCATCAAAACAAACGGCAGGCAACACTCAGCAGTGGCATGGCATGTCTCGTCACTCATAGATACTGGCGTGGCGAAACACTTGAGTTTTACTACGCTACGCCCCACGAAAGCTGAAATTTCCAACGTACCGTATCGCGCGGGGGGTGCATGCATGCGTACATCGCTGGAGAACGATTGGTTGACGCTTGAGAACGTCAGGTCCTACCGCGGCCGACTCACGTCAATGTTGCCCTGTATGTCGGCGAGAGACCTCCTCCACCGGGCCAGCTGCCTCAGCGCGTTCGAGCGGTGAGCGTTGATGGCCTTCGTGCCGGACACCTCGCAGAGAGACTCGTGCAGCTCGTGCGGCGAGGCCTGGATCTGTTTTTGTTTCGTGGCAGGATAGGAACGAGGAGGGGGGGGGGGGGGGGGGGGG